GCATGTGCAAATGAAACAAATAAACTCCAGGTATGTTTCTGATGAGGAATAACATTATAATGTAGATGATGAAAACCCTTTAAAGCACGGTTAAATATATTGTATCCTTGGTTAAAATATCCACACTGATTTGATGAATCATTAGCCACAAGGACACACTCTTTTAGCTTTCCAGCTTTGGCTCACTACCTCATAAACTACCACTTAAGATCTAAAACATTATAACGCCCTTCACTGGCATTATACATGTTACAAGAGAGGATGTACTGTAAAAAAAAAAAAAAAGGGAAGATTTTTAACACAATCCGGAGCACTTTGTCATTTTTATGTGAGGCGAGTAAAAACGCACAGCAGCAGAGCCAGTGGTGAAAGTTAATCATCAAGTGTTCATTCCAACCACGTCCAGACCACAAAGTCACACACAAACCTCAGCTCCTGCACCTCCACTCTTCCTCCTCTTCCTAACCGGTCCCATTCCCAAAGACACATGTAGATTAAAAAGCATCGAGGAGTACAATGTGTTCCATTACAATTTTCCATTTACAACAAGTATTGCTGACGTGGGAACTGCTGCAAGCCTGTACAAACATGCATAACTAGCAGCAGTATAGACGTATTTTGCGATTTCTGTATAGCATAATAGAATGAAGCTCTTTCGACACATCTACAAATGAGTATACTGTAGTTCTAACACACCTATATTACACAAAATGGATTCTTGTGAGCCTTAGCTATGTTATAATGTTGTCACTTCATCAAAAAACATAACTGGAGTTGTGTTTTGCTTCATTCACACATGTTTAACACACAAACCCTGCATATACAGACTGAGTTCTTCTCTCAAACTGAAAACACTGTGTTCCCCTTTATAATGTCATGTGATAATACAGGAAGGGCTTCACTGTGCTTTTAAACTCCGTACACCTTCACTAGAATCATTTGGATAATTTCAGCCCTGGAATTGCCAATCTCTACTGAAATAAAATGTTAAAAGATAGCTCTTAATTTGAAAACGACCATTACATTCAACAAGGTAGAACAGAGCGTTTGGAGATAAAGACAGACTAATAATTTACTCAAACATGTGTGAATGAAACAAAACACAATTCCAGGTATGTTTTTCGAGGAGGTAACAGTATAATAATATGACTTGAAGCTCACAAGAGTCAATTTTGTGTAATATAGGGCCTTTAAAAGAAATCAACTGATATACGATCATTGTTTTGAAGACAACAGTTTTTCGCAAGGTCTTCCCAAATGTCCAAAAATCCCTAAATGACCACAGGATGAAGGAGCAGTGTCTCTATCCAAAGCTCAACTCGTAAAAAGTAGCTCCTCTAACATCTAGCCACAAACAGAAAACAAATTTACCATCACTCTGGAAGGAAACAAGTCATAGCACATTGCACTCCATAAACTGTGAAATAGACAAACATCAGACACAATTACTGCAGTGCGGAAGATGCAAATTTCACATTGTCACATTGCCAATGACGCATTTTATTTTTTGTTATAAAAGTACTAAAATACCGAGTCTAGTTAGTACATCTTATTTTATATTATCTTTTCACTACATGTTTTATTGTACATTCAAAACTAAAATAATTTCAAGATAAAGATGCATTATGTAACATTTCTCATAGGGTCCATAAGCTATTACCTGATATTGCTTGGTCTAGAATGTTCTACACTACACTACTTAAATTCATTCAAATTCAGGTGTTTTATTGGTGAAAAGAAAATACCTTGAAAAACATGAATTGTTACTGTGAGGGGGCTTGCCTCTATACAGATCTGACATGTAACTTGGCCCTGGTGGCAATGCATTCTAAGCAAAGCAATAACAAGCAAATTAGGGATGTACAGATCTAGCTTTTTCACTTCCGATACTAGTTTTGATACTTTGACTTTAACTTCCTCAAAACACAGCTAACTTATTATACAAGAGATCAAATTATGTTACCCAACTGTTATTTTGTCTTTCCTGTCACTACTGAATAGCTTCACATGACTAAAAGTTCAAACATTATGAGGCAAACTGGGCCAAACTCATACTTTATCATCCAATTAAAGGTGCACTGTGTAACTTTTTGGTTGGAGATCCATCACCTGCTTGTTTTTATGTAAATGCTTTGTCTGGAATGTTCCACAGTATCACAGTACATTTATTCAATTACAGGTGATTTTTACAGGTGAACTCAAAAATACCTAAAAATCAGGCATTCTGATTGCCTCTGGTTGCCTCTACACAGATCTGACCTGTAACTTGTCCCAGGTGAACAAACCTGGTACCTTCTTGCTATGAAGCATGAGTGCTAACAACTCAGCTGCAAAGCCATTGTATATTATTAATAGGGCCGGGAACGTTAATGCATTAATTTTACATTGGTAAATAAATAAATAATTATTATTATCTTTTTTTTTTTTTTTTTTTTTTTTTTTTTTTTGTAAACGTCTGTTGCTCACTGGCTTTTATTTTGAAAAAGTCCATTGTGAGCGAGCCTTGAAAGTTGCTTATTCTTGCAGCGCTCACAGGAAACAGTCAGAAAGGGGTACGGGACTTTTATATGGCCATTTTCATTTTAAAGTTCTTCCAGACAGTCGACAAAGCCAAAGCCATTTGTAACCACTGCAACGCTGAACTGTCTTATCACCAAAGTTTTATGAGCCTGAAATACCCCCTAAACACAGTACACTCTGTTGATGGCGGCAAATCATTCAGTGAAACCAGTGGAGCGAAACTTCGGCAGACCACGTTAGAGACAACGTGTCAGACCCATTGCTCCACACACACACATTATGCACAGCATGTAGGGCACCAAGTGCTTTTGGGGGTACCACGGCACCACCACACGGTCTCACTTTTTTCTTCCGCAAGAAGCCAGTGCCAGCGAGCGCATTCTTAATAATAATAATAATAATAATAATAATAATAATAATCTTGTATGCCTTTGCAACTGACTTCGTGCAGAGGAGTAAAAAAGAAAAGTTCTAGGAACTGACAAACTTTTCCACAATTGCACTGAAAGTGTTTTCTGTGTACTGTTTTTTGGTTACTGTTTTTGACTGAGATTCTCATTTTTATATTAAACAGGAAAACATTAATGCCCTGGCATTGGCAATACATTTCAGTTTTGTATTTGAAATGATTTGATTTTTTCAGTTGAGATTTACACTGAATACTTGATTTTACTGCATCATGCACTTAACTGAATTCAGTTCATTAAGTCAAATTCTATGAAGTCGTTATTTTTTTGAGTTACATTCTCCAAATGAAGAATGCTACTGCTACTGTATAAAGAAATGCTGTTTGCACAACAACGGTATGGCACTTTTTTCACATTTATAATAAAAGTGGGCTATATGCTACTTTTGAATTCATTATAGTATTTTGCATACAACATGCAATTAATCATGATTAATCACAGGAACTCATGTGATTAATGTAATTAAGATTTTTTATTTTTGCCCAGTACTAATTATTACCATTCATATTTTTGCTCTGTTATCATATTATATTGTGATGTGTGAGTGACTGTGTCCAAATAATTTCTCTTGTGGCTCAATAAAGTTTGTCTAAGTCTAAATCTAAGTCTAATTAAAGGCCCAACCAGAATACCATGGAACCGATACCCTGTACTAGTATCCAGTACCAGTATTGGTGCATCCCTAAAGTCGACAGCAGACCTTCCACCAGAAAAATATACCAGACAATACCATACAACTTCTATGGGTACATTTACTGAGTGATAGCTGCAATGACGGCAAAACTCACTCCACATCACACCTCTAAAAAATACATGACATTCTTCTTCTTCCTGAGCTCGCCGCATCTCCCTTCGACCCCAATACAACCTCCCCACTCTTTTACTACAATACTTTTACTTCTTCAAACCCAGTCCATGATTAGCATTAAATCATACCTGGCTCTATCTCTCTCCACGGAGCCCTCAAGTCGTTTAGCTCTAAATTCCCGTGAAGTGCACCACAGATTTGCTCCCATGCATCAGGCTGGACTGTTATAGCTAGCGTGGAATAGGTGATAAAGTTTATATGAGGGTGTATTATGGTGCTAGTGGGGCAGGGGCTACAGAGGGGTTCACGATCTAAGATTATGATTGTATTGGGTTGGCCATATGGGAACTTGAATGAGTATTAAACCACCAAGGCTGCGTTCACACTTGACTTTGGTTCTGGTTTAGCCGGTTTTAGTGCCGGTTTATTTCTTGTGATGGGTTGTGCTAACGATGGACCATGTAACTGTTCTGTTGGGAGTTGCACCACCTGCTTGTCACGAAATAAAAACCCCAGATTCATACAGAGCGGGTTAATACGAACATTTTAAGACCAAAATGAGGAGCCTGACAGCAGCAGTTACGGAGAGAGGGGCGACGTTTTCTCACTATGAAGTGAACTGGAGCCAGAGTCAGTGGAGCCAAAAGAGTGCCCATTCTCACTTCCTATTAGGAAAAGGGCAGCTAGCGGGTTAGCTATGTCCATTTATTTATACAGTCTATGATTCATTCTTGTCTTTGGTTCTGGTTTAATCGCTTTCAGTGTAAGTTTAGTCTAGTTTAGGTGAGTTCTGTTGGTAGTTGTGCCACCTGCTTGTCACCATGGAGATGTTGTTGCTTTGGCTGAAATGTTCCGTTATCAATTTAATGACAGAGGTGTTTACAGTTTTAGAAATCCCTTGAGCAACAGCCATTGTTACCACAGACTGTATAAAAAAGTTGACTAAGGGAGTGTGTCGCCACCCATAGTGCTCAGATCAAATGAAGCTCACCGAAGCTAGAAGTTATAGAGGCGAATTTGGAGTCAGTTTCATATTTGGAGTAGGAATTTATTTATGGACAAAACAGCAAAATAATAATGTAGAGCAGGTTAATATGAACATTTTAAGATGAAAATGAGTAATCTAACAGCAGTCAAGCGCACCCACGATTTATACATACTTGTCTATGATTCGTACTGTAATGGGGGCTTCTTCTTCTTCACAGATCTGGTCCGTAACTTAGCCTATTTGCATCTTCTGCTGTCTCCATGGAGATAAGTTTAAAGCCATACAGTGGAGCACCAGGCGAAGCAATACGATCTCCATAGAGACGGTAAGGGAAGGTTATGGACCATTCATCAGAAAAAGTACACAGTGCACTTTTAAGGAGTGAACGCAGCCTAGGTTCTTTTTTTTTTTTTTTTTTTTTTTTCAAAACACTTGAGTAAATATGGCAAAACTTCAAACCAAATGCACAATTCTGTATCTATTTACTCATATAGCTTAAAAAAATTCTGAATACACTTGTAACGTAACTTTGCAGCCATTTTTATGATGACAAACATTCCAAACATCCCTTTTCTCTCCCTTTCATCCAACACTCCTGTCTCATTGACCAATTACATAGCGCCCAAAGACCATGACCTTAATTTGGATCTTTATTTTTTGTATATATTAGACTGCAACGGCGCACAGCTTAAAGGGAATTACAATTTACCAAGAGAGACCAAGCAACCAATCTATTATGACAATAGATTTACAATAACAAAGGACTTCGGTATTGTATATTATCAATGAAGGATCAGAATGGGCTCTCCAGTAGCCAATCACGTCGTCCGATTCGGGTCCTGTTTTCTGAATGAGTTTTTTTTTTTTTTTTTTTTTTTACGGGGAGGAAGAGGAGCACGCATGCCATTGCTACATCAAGATAAAATCATCCTTACCATGCTCTATAATACAACACAATTCTTCCATATAAATGCATGGAATAATTTGCTATTAAGATGACAGCGTGCATTTCTGAGTATGTGTCATGCATTCTAATTAGACAGAAAATGCGTCCTTCAATGCGTAAAAACTACTACAAACACAATTGTGCTAAAAAAAAAAAAAAATGCCAGTCAATCTTCAAATCTTTTCAAAAACGTCACATGCACGTACCTTTAGTATTTGTCCCAACAACCTTCGGAACAGTCTGGCTGAGGAGCGAAGAGTGGTGGGCGAGCGAGGAAGTAAGAGGAGATAGAAAGAGAGATAGGAAGGAAAAGGAGGGATAGAGAACGAGTGAGATAAAGTAGAGAAAGAGGAGACAAGAGAGGGAGCGAGGAGAAGTGGACGCACTCCGGTCTCTGTGATCCAAAGAGGAGGGATGAGGTGAGAGAGAGAGACGGGAGAGAGAGAGAGAGAGAGAGAGAGAGGGTGCACCGGATTGGGATAGGACGGGATTGTGTGGTGATGATGATGATGAAGAAGAAGAGGAGGGAGGAGGAAGAGGAAGGGGTAAGCAGAGGTACGGAGAGACAAGAGGAGAATAGGTTGACTTTGATCTGGCTGAGTAAATGCTGAGTGTTGCGAGGCTGTCAGTCGGTCACATGGGGTTGAAGTTTCTCACCGTTTCCCATACTGACGATGATGAGGAGATGCGCAGTACATGATGAAGAGGAGTTTAAGGAAAGTCCCAAAGGCTGAGGGTAAAAACTGCAGGATCATCTCTGCAGATCTGTAAGTTTAAAGAGGTAAAACTGAAGAAAGTTCCTGCTTCCAAATGCTGTTGTGAGTGAATAATACTACTACTACTACTACTACTACTACTACTACTACTACTACTACTACTACTACTACTACTACTAATAATAATAATAATAATAATAATAATAATAATAATAACAACGCCTTGCTATGTGTGCATTGTCCCCTCAAACTAACACTAGTCACTCATACCCACGGCAAATATTCAGAAGCAACTGAATGCATGTACTGAAAATACATATTCAGAATACAAATTTTGAGTAACTATATTCTGGACCAGTTCATTTTTCATTTGGTGGTATTCAGAATAGTTATTTTTCTAAAATCAAAGGAATACATGGCAGTGCTTGATCATGCAATTTTGACTTTGAACTGCGTGTTTTTAGCAAGAACATTTTAAAACACAGCTCCTGCAGTATGTGTGCATGTTTCCTTAATGGCAAAAAACAATGCAACAAACACAAAGCTGTTTATAATTCTATGTTGCGTGTTTTTTAGGGCTGGGTGTCATTAGGAAGTTGCCAATACCATACATACCTCGATACATAGGTCACAATATGATACATATACATATATATTTCAAATTGAATAATGGCTAAATCATGGCTATGATACTACAAGTCATAGTTAAACTACTTCTTGCGCAAAGTTAATATGAAACATCATCAAAACAGTGACAATGTCAAATGTGTTGCATAAACCTTCCTCTGAACAAGCAACAAAACTGTCGTGCATTAACAAAATAATTGAGTAAAATATACCAAAAAATACTCTTGGCAATATATTGATACAGCAGCCCAAGATATTGATACTGTATCATCACATTAAATGATACAATATACCGATATTTCAGTATTTTTGCACACTCCTAGTGTTTCTTACTATAATATGATGCAAATCGAAGTAAAAGTATTCCAAGTATTCAGAATACAGTACTCTGATTGGACCATGTGACACAATGTGTTATAAAATACAGTTTCATTTGGATATTCAGAATTCTGTAACTACATTTTTAAAGTATCCTTGCCATCACTGCTAGGGATTTTGATCGGATATGTAATGACCTAGCAGCTTTATGGTTGAAATGCATTGAGTCTTTATCCCTCAAGTAAATATTCAGAATTTTCAGATCTCTGCTGCTATGTCAGTAGGGTCAATGAAAAACTGTCATTCGTCATAATTTCACACCATAAATACAGCTACCATTTTCAGTATTTTCAAAATGTATTAACTTCAAGGTCACCAGTCTCTTAATAAACCATGCAAAGCGTAAATGTCCCAAGCTACTACAGGCTGTAACCTTTAGCGCATAGAAAAGTACAAGTGTGATTCTTGTAAACCTCGACCCAGTGTCAGGCGTGGACACGATCAATTTTCAAGTCGTAAAATTCTCCTTCCACCCATTAAATAACAGTGTAATCCTATTCTGCCATGTAGTGTGCCACACGAGAGTCCGCAATTAACTGTGGGGCAATAAAGTCCAGAAGCAGAGAACGTGAGGCTACAAAAGGTGGGAACATAACACAATCTATAACCATGGATGTGAAGAAATCATTCTAGAGCTGCATGACTGACTGGACTGGAAATGAGCAGTGATATCAAACATTCACCCAGACCAACAAACCAATGCTAACATAGAAATAACATATTAATTACACTGAATCGGTTTAATTAGAGCATTTGTTTCTGTTGTGCACAACTTGTTTAAAGGTACATTGTGTAACTTCTCTCATGTGGGGTCTGTCAGAAGCTTTTCTAGGTGGAGATTAGGGCTGTGTATCATTTAGAAGACGATTCATACCTTGATACATAGGCCACGGTACAATACATATCTCGGTACGATATGATACAATACGAGTCAATACAATTCAATACAATATATCAAATCGATATGGTTCAGTAAAAAATAAAGGCTAAATCGTGGCTCTGATACTAAAAGTTTTTGTTAAACCATTTCTTGTTCAAAGTTCATATGAACCACACATTTTAATCATCAAAACAGTGAAAATGTCAAATGTGTTGCATAAACAAGTTTCCTTCCTCTAAACAAGCAACAAAACTGTAACTCTCTAACAAAGTAATTTAGTAAAATATACCAAAAAATACTCTTGGCAGTATATTGATACAGCAGCCCATGATATCGATATTGTATCATCAATTTAAATGATGCGATACATGATTTTTTCAATATTTTTGCACAAACTTAGTGGAGATGTTACTGCTCTGTCAGGAATGTTCCACAGTATAGAGTAAACCTATCTATCACGAGGGAGACAAGAAGGTTACACTACTCTACATTACAATTCAGATCTGTGGAGAGTCGCCCCTATTCACAGAAGGAATTATTGTATTTTTGAGCAGTAAAAACACCCATAATGAATAAATGTTAGATGGATATGTTTAATGTCATACCATGGAACATTCCAGACAAATATATAACATCTCTATGGAGACCAGGAGGTAGCGGACACTATGTAACTTGGTAAGAGTCCAGCACCTGTTTGTGTACATGGGGATATGCTAGGGAGATCAGCATTAAACTTGCATATTATTTAATTATTGGTGTTTTTGTTTATTTTCTTCAAAACAATATCTTGAAAAATATTATATTCTATTGTGAGCAGGCCCACTTTTCCACAGATCGGACCTGTAAATTGGCTTGGTGCTTGTCTCCACAAAAATAGATAAATCACACTGTTTGAAACTTTCCAGGCAACGCAACAAAATCTCTGGTGACCAACACCCCACCCAGAAAGTTACACAATGCACCTTTAATGTAAGCACGAATTTGTGATAAATAAGACTGACAACAAGTGACAACACAATTTCACAATTCTGACAATGATTTATGGACTTGAAACTGTGAAAACTGTGCAACTTTTAGTCTTTATTTTTAACTTTATTTAACCAGGCGGTCCCACTGAGATTCTGAATCTCTAACAAAACAGTAATATTACATTATAAAACCATTTGCATCTCTCAAGAAAAACATACACACATCCCTGTCACCACACTTTTTTACAATTTTCTTAAACTTATCAAGTGACACCATAGATTCCAATTCCACTTCTACCTGCGATGCAATAATCCTGGGAAAATTCAATATGCATATTTTCTCAGTGGGGCAAAACATTTTCTTTCCAAGTAACATTTGTTCAACTGAGTCTTAAGATGTTCTAAAATGTACACATACTATAATCCAGTGCTGGTTACACTCAATAAAACTGCAGTGAGATTTGTAGTCCTCTATAATTTCATGACCTTCTGCTAAAACAATAAAAGGGCGCCTCATGTTCTGCTCTCAATAATTTGGCCTTGATCCCAGTGAGACAGAGTGGGTTAGTGCGCGTGCGTAGTGCCCTGGTGTCAGAGGAGAGGGGAGGGCTCAGGCAGGCACAGTTCCAGTAGTTCAGTACAGTTTGGCCCGCCTGTGGTTCTGACTGTGTTTTCGTGTGCACTCTGGGGCTTGTAGCTTTAACATGGCAGAGCAGAGCGGCGGTGCCAGTCCTGCGGGCCCTGCTCTCAAACAGGAAGAGAAAGACTGACACAACTACTGGTGCTGCACACAAGGAAATAGTGTGTTTGTTTCAAGACTGAAGGAAAACAATCATATGGTTTTGTGTGATCATTAAAGGGCCCACATTATTCTATCTTCTGATCTATGTTATAATTAGGGGTGTGCAGAAATATCAAAATATCAATATGAACAGTTCTGCTGTGGGCTTTTAGAGAGTTGAACTGCACGTCCCTCTGCACATGTAAATGTTGAGCTCATATTATGGATGAATAAGCAATGATCATTGCAACAGTCATTCGTCTACTGAGTCACAACTGAACTAAACTAAAGCTAAACTCTAAACTAAACTCTGTTGTGTTCATCATTAAGTTGGTTGATCATTAAAGGTGCATTGTGTAACTTTTCTGGTGAAGGGTCCATCAAATGCTCCATGGAGATGTTATTTCTTTGTCTGGAATGTTCTACAGTATGGTATTAAACCTTTTTATCTTCATGGAGACCAAACCAGACCAAGTTACAGGTGAAATCTGTGGAGAGGCGACCCCACTCACAGAATGTCTAGGTATTTTTGAGATATAAAACCATCTGTAATTGACTAAATGTAAGGTAGAGCTGTTTAATGTCATATTGTGGAACATTCCAGGCAGAGCAATGACATATCCATAGGAACAAGCTGGTGCACCTTTAAGTAGTGAGTCTGAAAGCCTTTATTTTTTGGCTGAATCATATCAAAACAAAAGTGCGCTGTGTCAAGTATTGTATTGTGGCCTATGTATCGTATCGGCAACTTCTTACTGATATCCAGCCCAGCCTGCATAGTTAGATTGAGTTCTTCTCTCAAAATGAAAACACTTGGTTCCACCTTGTGATGTCATGTGGTAATACATTGGTTAGGGCCACAGAAGGCTGGAAATGGCCCTGGTGTTCGGACAAAGTGATGGAGTGAGTGGTGGAGAGGGAGACTCAAAGGGAAGCCTGACTGAGATATGATAAAGCAGAGTCTTTGAGAGCGGTTTATCAGCTCGGTGCACTCAGCCCACACATTACAATTACTCCATGTGTCTATAGTGGACAAGAAAGCAGGCCTGTCTTAAATACACACTGCGATAATTGACTTTTCCGTGGCCGCCTCCCAGGAGCACAACCACTATTGATCTCGTTCATTTACATGACTTTGTCATTAGGAGCGCAGAGAGTTAGTCAACAGATGGGGCGTCTCTCTGGGATCATCCTGGGAAAGAATCTTACCAAAGACATGTGTTTGCTTTCTGCCTGTTTATTCAAATGCAATGTCTATTTTGAATTCATTGTGAAATAGAAAATGTGTTTTTGTCATGTTTTCCACTATTCATTTGCTTTCACTAATAAGAGAGTGGAGAAGAATGGATTAAAACCACGAAAGACATTTTATAATATAATTTACAACATGCTTTTGGTCACCATGGGATACATTTTCACATTTTCTACCATAAAATAATGTTTACATTTGGAAAATATACTAAGCTTTATCTCCATTTCCAATGAGGCGTTTAGGCATTAGAGCTCCCTCTGCTGGCAGCAATGAAAATGAATACCAAAAAAATAAATAATGAAGCCCCTAGACCATGTGAATGTTATGCTAATAGAGCTAGAGTCATGCATTTGCTGTGAACACAATTTGACCCCAGAACAAGTCCAGTGAGGGCTTGAAAATGGTGTCTGTCTGAATTTTTTACCTGCAACAATCTGGGCAAAAAGTGAACAGGGCATAGACAACTATGGATTTATAAAGCAAAACATGGGGAAAATGGTTAAAACTTCAAAAACGTCTGTTTTGCAGAATGCGTCCCTACAGAAGAAAAAAAACGCATAAATCAGACCGTATATTTTAAAATGCTGTTCTTCCCTTCCTTCTTAAAATCTGCTCTATCTAGGTGTTGAGAAATCCTGATGTAATTTGTGGTGATTCAATGACAGTGATTCAAAGGAAAAGCAGTCAGAATGTTCTAACTGACCTGATCTAACTGCACTTTTCCATTGTTTTACTGAAGAGTTTCACACAACTCACACATACTGCAACATGTTTTTAGGTCTAATTCTGAAAAGGGACAAAATACAGACTTTACAAAGTATAAGTAGTATAATTTTTTGGTATTTGTACTTTACTTAAGTACATTTTAAAGTCAATGTTTTTTACTTTTACTTCACTACATTTCAGAGCAGGCATCTGTACTTTCTGCTCCACTACATTATTTAACTGGACCTAAAAGTAAAAGTATTTTTAGATTGTCTGAGACCAGCTGAAAAGGCTGAGGGCTTTAGTATATTAGCTGTCTTGATCGAAGAAACTTCAGTACAAAATCCATACATTTGAAGCTTTATTCGATTTCAAAATCTGGGTGACAGTACATTTTTAAAAGGGTACTTATTTATATATTTTTTTTCATGTTTGCTCTAGTCTCTGTACTTTTACTTAAGTAACAAAACTGAGTACTTCTTCCTCCACTGATCATCAGTGTACCTCTGACATACACAAGAGGGCTTGTCCTTTAAAAGTCTTTTTATATCTGGAGTTATCTAGACTTTTGGACACCATTGGCATTTCATTTTTATGTAAAATAAGAAATTAAACTGTAAAAAGCAGATTTGTCAGGCTAGAACAATGAATAATTACAGCTAGCCTCAAAGTCTGCAACTCTTTTGTGAGGTTAAGTTTAGATAAACTTGCACATAGTCGGTACAAGTTTTTTTTGTCAATGACCTTTAATAATTAACGCAACTAAATAAATAGTTCCTCATCGTTTTGAAGAAGTACACTTCTGCTCGGCTTAGTCTAGTCTGAAACCCACATTTCAATTTAAATTCATAACCCCGATTCTGTAAATATTTGTATAAAATATGCTTTAAAATAATGCAGTTTCTTCTCAGCATTCTCCAGACATTATTGCTTTTCATATTTTTCCCACTGCCTAAAACAGTGCATGTTTACAATGCAATAGTGGTCAAAGTGATGCTTGAGTCATCTTGTTTTTGATCAGGGTGTGATCTTAGACGCCAGATGAGCAGACGGAAGCAGTAGCAGTAAAAATATATGTGCTGTTTCTTCAGAATATATATTTTTAATTAAAGGACCACTACACAACTTTTCTGGTGGAAGGTCTGCTGCATACTTGTCTCTATGGAGATGCCATTGCTTTGCCTGGAATGTTCCATGGTGTAACATTAAGCATATCCATCTAGGATTTATTCATTACGGGTGTTTCTATTGCTCAAAAATACCATAATTTCTTCTGTGAATAGGGGCGACTCTCCACAGATCTGAATTGTAAAATAGCTTAGTGCTGTGGCCTGCTCGTGATAGGTTTAATCCATACTATGTGAACCAGACAAACAGACAAAGCAATAACAGCTCTATGGAGACAAGCAGGTGACGGACCCTCCAATAGAAATTTAAGATGAAACTACATAACTTAAATGGCACTCTGCAACTTTCTGGTGAAGTGTAGTCACCTGGTTGTGTCCATGGAGATGCTATTGTTTAGTCAAGAATGCTCCACAGTATGGCAAAAGATGTACTTCTCTATTTCAATGCAGACAAGCCAGTGATGCTACTTGGCCAAGTTACAGGTCAGATCTGTGAAGAGGCGACCAACTCTCTGCAAGAATCTATGCTTCCAAGGCGTTTGCGAGCAGTAAAAACACAATAGTCAAAGAGTTACAAAGAGGTACAAGATTTTCTAATGTGTTATAATGTTGTTTCCATCACAAACAGACCTGGAGTTGTGGGGTTTTTTTTGTTTTGTTTTGTTTTGTTTTGTGTTTTTCATTCACACATGTTTAACACACACTTCCTGCATATTTACGCTGAGCTCTATTTCTGCTCCACTGTGTTTTTGACACCTGTCTCTCACTATCTTTTTTGCTACTTATTTAGAATTAATTATTATCATTTATATTTTTCCCTTTTATTCCTTTTTGTTATTATATTATATTGTGATGTGTAAGCTACTGTGTCCAAATAATTCCTCTTGTGGAACAATAAAGTTTGTCTAAGTCTAAGTGTTTTTAAACTCCATACATCTTCAACAGAATCATTTGGATAATTGCAGCAATAATTTCTGAACAAAATAAAAAAGGTATTTGCTAATTTGTAAACTACCATTTCATGACATCATAAGGTGGAACAGAGCATTTCGAGCTTTGGAGACGTAGACAGACTAATAATAAAGAGTTACTCAAACATGTGTGAATGCAACAAAACCCAGCTCCAGGTATGTTTTTGATTAGGTAACACGGTTTAAAGGTATATTGCTTAACATTTCTTGTGGAGGGTGCACCTGCTTATCTCCATGGAAATGCTATTGCTTTGTCTAAAATGTTCCGCAGTATAAATAAAACCTATATATCACGAGGAAGACAGGCAGGTTACAGCACTACACTACACAACATTACAATTCACATCTGTATTATTGTAATTCTGAGCAATAAATACACCAGTAATGACTAAATGCTAGATGTATATGTTTAATGTCATATCACGGAACATTCCAGGCAAAGCAATAACATCTCCATGGAGACAAGCAGGAAAAGTTGCACAGTGCACCTTTAAAGAGAGTCAAACATTCCAAGCAAAGCAGTAACTTTTAGGGAAGCGTGAGCCAGTCCCAGGACAAATTTTGGGAGTTAAAATAATTAATTCTGAGTCAAAGTAAATGTACATGCTTGTGTGTGTCTGTTGAATTTCATTATCATTAAATATTTGTGAGTTCAGCCTAACCTTAAGCTTGTACAAACAGTGTGATAATGATCTTTACAGCAGAAGTTTCAGTTCTGTCTTGAGGTCTATTGAAGTTATGGTTACTTACAGCTTATAGGAGCATTATAGGTAAATACAAAAGAACAGCTACTTCCTTTTATAACTCAACTGCCAGTGAAAACCAATGAAAAGCAAGATTACCAAAGGAAGTTAAGAAAAAATGTTGACAAGTGTGAATGTGGAGAGAAAGGGGAAACTAAAGCAGTCTTAAAAGAAACTCCTACTGCCTTCCTACAAATTCTCAGAAGTGACGAATGACTGCCACATGACGGACTAAGAAATCTACAGAAAGAGTAAGTTTAGTCATTATTTTAAAATATTGGTATATTTTAAGTGTACAATCTTTGTAAGTGTGTATATATTTATTAACACATGTGAGATTAAGCTGGATTTATCAATTGATTCTTTCCAGATGGCTTATATCCGGTTTAAGTTTCATTATGAAATCTTAAATCAGACACATTTCATTCTTTTCTGGTTAAAACATGTGAATTTTAATACTTTAAAGGGGAACTATGTAAGTTTTCTGGTTTAGGGTCTGCAGCCTGCTTGTCTCCAGAAAGATGTTTTTGCTTTGCCTAGAATGGTCCCCAGTATGGCATTATAGTTTCTATCCACCACCAGATCAATTTACAGGTCAGATCTGTGAAGGCGTAAGCTTATCTGTCTCACGTCAGAATGATATGTATCTCTGAATTGAGTTCAGATTTATCAGTCTGGAACGGCTCTCGCTTGGGAAAAGGTGAAATGTCCAGATGATTAGGCTATATTTATTTCAATGTTATTTAATTTAGAAAGCATCAGAGCAGTGGAACAAGATGAGAGATCAAAGTTTAACTGGAGACTTCAATCCACTTAAGAAAAATCTATCTATCTAAATATCTAATAAATATAGATATAGATAGATATAGATATATAGATAGACAGACAGACAGATAGACAGATAGATAGATAGATAGATAGATAGATAGATAGATAGATAGATAGATAGATAGATAGATAGATAGATAGATAGATAGATAGATAGATAGATAGATAGATAGCAGAACAAAATAATCTGTATTTCTGCTGAAATAGGCTGAAGTCTGTCTGTCTGTCTGCGTTGCCAAGTGCGTTTGGGTACATTAAACTTTAATTTGCCCAAACCCCAACGCTGCTCTGTGAAAAGTTGCATAGCAGATTTTATCATCGATCTTCAAACAAAGTATTACAACTATTACTGTAATAACTAGTGGTCAATATTGAGTTGTAGCTTTACTTTCAGTATTCTTCCCGAAAGTATCATGTGAGTTAGTTCATTCAGTGTAAGACGCTTTGCTTCTAATCTGCGTGTGTAATATGATGTATGCGTCAATACAGAAATGACTGTACAAAAATCCCTACCCACTCAGTTCATTCACAAATGACGCTACCACAACTCACCCTATCCTTCAGCTGTCAGATTATCACGTTTTTCATGCCATCAAAACCACACATGTGCCAACCAAGTGTGGGCCACTGAACAAGACCACAAACACAAACAGGAAGTTACAAATGTTGTGACACTGCCTTTCTTATGAATTCTTCTTACCAGTCGTGATATGGATGCCGTCAGCTGACTCGTGAGAACGAAGCAGGCTAGAGGTGAAGAACCATGCTCCCTTTGCGGCTCCTGTGGCTTCCATGGGCGCTCGCCATGGCAGAGGAGTGTGACCTCGACCACAGCTCCTACACTGGTAAGGAGAAGTCATAGAAAATGGGGAATTACATTAGTTAATGGGTAGGTTTCCTTTGCTAACTATGAATGAACACAATACTGACGCAAAGCAAAGGGCGGCTACTTTGATTTTGAATCTAAAATATTTAGTCGAGTTATTTCACTTTTTTCCTTTGCAATTCTGTACATCATGTATCGTATATTTTATGTTTTCTGTAAGTATTTAATTTAGAAATTAGTAAAGAAGGTGTGTTTTGACTGGGTCCTAGACATGATTGTTGGAGAAGAGGAGATGGAGAGGCTGAGGAGGTTGATGGAGAGGCTGCTAATAGGATGGAGGAGGCAAAGTACTGTTGTGCAGGGATGTGCAAAAATATCAAAATATCAATATATCGTATCATTTAATGTGATGATACAGTATCGATATCGTGGGCTGCTGTATCAATATATCGCCTAAAGTATTTTTTGGTATATTTTAACAAATTATTTTGTTACAGTGCTACACGTTTGTTGCTTGTTTAGAGGAAGGAAACTCGTTTATGTGACACATTTGACATTTTCACTGTTTGATGATTAACATGGGTGTGTTTCACTTCGCACAAGTGGTTTAACAAACTTTTAGTATCACAGCCATGACTTAGCCATTATTTTTTATTGAAACATATTGAATCGATTTGAAATATATCGTACTGAATCGAAAGTGCACTGTATCGAGATATGTATCAGCAACTTCTTAGGGATACCCAGCCCTAGTGTTGTGTTATGTCAGATATGGATGTCTTGAGAGATGATTGGTCATGACATAAATTTAGATTTTGGTAAAAAAGTGGAGTTGCCCTGATGCTCTGTTCCACCTTATGACGTCCTGAAGCGGCATTTTTAAGTTAACAGCTCCATTTACCTTTAGTTTAATATAGACTGGCAATTCTGGGGCTAAAGGTGTGGTGCTCTTCCTATATTACCACATGATGTCGCAAACAGTGTTTTCTGTTTGAGAGAAGACCACAGACTAAATATGGACCCATTAATTAATATAACTTAGAGCCCGGGCCACATACAGCCCTTTGGTCGACTCTGAATGACCCTTTAAGCTCATTTGGAATTACAAAATAAATATATTTTATCATTTTACCTCATACATGGACTAAAGCTGCACTGCTTTTATTTTAGAGGTGTTTTGACATTTTTTGTAAGGCAGCCTCACTTTTTCATTGCTCATAACATAAACTCTTACCAGTCTTACCAGCTCATCAAAACAATGCTATTTATTGTTTTTTTTTTTTTATAAAGAAATGCAATTAATATTATACAGAACTGAGTTAAGCATTTTGGCCCAGTGCCCCCCCCAGTATTTTCTGTTTCTCATGTGGCCGCATGGAAAAAATAATTGCCCACCCCTGATTTAGAGTATAGTATATATAGCGTTAATTAGACTTAGACTTAGAACTTAATTGATTCGCAGGGGAAATTACTTGGACACAGTAGCTCACACGTCGCAATAAACAAAGAGCAAATATATATGTATGGTAATAATACATTCAAAATGGTGTTAATCTGCTCAACTGAATGGCATTTTCGTCTCTACCCAGCCTCCACAGCTCTGAAGTCCCTACACTGTTATAATGACTTCCAGTCCTTCTTTCACTGCACATGGAGGGAGGAGCCGGAGAGCCAGTCCAACCAAACACTCAAACTGTGGCTCAAGGCAAAAAGCTCCAGGTAACACAGGATTACGGGATTACAGTGAAAATGATTGTGACTTTTTTGTATTGAAACTATGTGTGTTTCCAGGAAAGGCTTGTGTGAAGACTACCCCTCAGTTGAGCAGGGGCTGAGACAGTGCAGATATAAAACTAGAGTGTTTTCTTTGGGCACGACATACACTGCCTTCTTCAATAAATCTGTCCACTGCTCCACTGCTCACAACACATATCTGGATCTGTCCACTCTTTGTAAGTCTATTATTAGGCCTGCCACGATATGAAATGTTGAAGTGTCAGATTTTGAAAGCAGGGTTTTAGCCAAAAAGTATTCTAAAAACAAAGTAACATTAGTAGAATGAAGCACTTTAGTACTTAGTTTATATCTATAATGAGTCATAAAGGGTATTTATTAAATCCTCGACATCGCAAATCTTATCAGACAACAGAAAAATATCAAAGAATTCCCTACTTTCCACTGAATAATGTATTTCCATACTTGTACAGGTATACTGCAAAACATGAAAATCCAGATGAGTTAAAAGTACTTTAATTAAAATTCTTAAAGATTGTAAATTTGACAGTGCTGACTTGTGTCAACCTGGATTATTAGATTTATTTTCTGTTTCCAAATGGAAAATGTAGTTTATTATTTCAAGCTAAATTAGAGTCAATGCATTCATTTGAAATGGTAACTTAATAAGACTTAGTAAGAAAATGACAGCTCTTACAAACTACAGAATTTTCTTCAATTCTTTCTCTTCCAGTAAGGGGTAACGATGAGAAAATCCTAGTGACAATGGTCTTGCTGCTGTAATTACAGCAAATTGATCCTTAATTAATAATGTGACATTTTCTAACCCTATGTATGACCCAGAAAAGTCAGGAAAGTGGGCGGGGATAGTGGATAGGTGAAAACAGACATTACCGGACAATACAGGATTACTCAAACATCCATGAAACAATTAAAAGTAAAATAATGATGAGGGAACACTGTTATTTGATAAAATTATGCTTATAAATTTGAATTTGTTAATTTTAGTAGAGAAGCACAAAAAGTAAAGATCACAAATTAATTAATATATTATTAATAACAATAAATATTTTGTTACGTATTTGTGTAAACATACAGCCATTCTTCTTCTATTTCCATTTTGACTTAGAAGTATGTTCAAAGAGAGCACTCAGAAGCACCCAAAAAATATTGTTACTGGATATCGACTGTATCAATATCAGCTAATATCGATACTGGGAGCAATATATCATTCATGCCAAAATTATCGGGTATAAAATCCTCCTAAAAATGTGGACTGAATATAAATTGTAACATGAATGAATTATATTGACTCACATCTCACGTTTCTGAATGTTTGGACAATACATAATTTATAGTGTCCTTTTGTGGTCCACAGTGAGAGCACGCACACCGGTCAGCCTGACCACCTCCAGCTCAGAGGACGGGGGCAGGACGATCACATGGTCCAGCCCCTACCCACAATCCTCTTCTCTCAACAACAACATCACCTATGAACTCAGCTACAGGTCAAGCGGACACCAGAACTGGACGGTACGATTGGAACTCTGGGAATGAAATGAACTGAATAATCTAATCTAATCTGATGTGTGTTGTTGTTCTAGGAGGAGAAACTGTGGAACAATCACAAGAAACTGGAAAAGAAAATCTTACGTCCAGGACACAGATATGAGGTCCGAGTGAGAGCCCTGGTCCCACTGAGTGAATGGAGCCACTGGAGCCCCACAGTCTCCTGGTTCAATCAGCCAGGTAACATACAGCATTAGTCTATTCACTAGTCTAGAGTCAGAAAGGTTTTTTTTTTACTAGCAACAGCAAAGTTAGTTGTAAATTAAAGTAACTTTCCTGGTTTATTTTATTTTATTAAGCAGTTGTCGAGGACCATGTAAAAATTAATTTATCAAAATTATCAGTACCAGATTAGTCTGTCTGTTAGCTGTCTATCTGTAGTCAGTGTACTCAGTTCTCATCCATTACAATTACATTGCTATGCTAATTTATGGCCATTTATCAGCCATGTGCTTATCTCTGTGGAGATGTTATTCTTTTGCTTGGAATGTTCCACAATATGGCTTTAAATTTATCAATCTTTCATGAGTTAATTTGCATGTATTTTGATTGAAACATGGTTAAACCACCTTAAACATGTATCTTACTGAGTGAGCTTGCCTGTCCACTGATCATACAAATCAGATCCATTATTATTATTATTAATGCCATATTGTGGAACATTCCAGGCAAAGCATCAACATTTCACTGGAGGCAAGCAGATGGAAAATCTTCTACCAGGAAGGTGACATAGTTCAGGTTTTGTTACATTTGCTTTTAGATTTGGAATCAGCCCAAATCAAATAAATCAAAAAAATAATACTGAATAAATCTGGTAGCCACAAATAAATATTCTCTTTTTCTTGTTATTTACTAAATTTGAAGTAGCATGACCACAGAAATTTGGTTGACTGACTAAAGTGGCTCGTCTGACCACACCTAATGGATGTAGTGAGTGTGAAGCCCTGGTGATTGTAACTCAGTGCTAACAAAGCTGACAACTCCAATGAAGAATAGAGCGGTGCACTTTGGCCTGGTGTCAGTTCATTTGCTTTATATCCACTCATTTGTGTTGTTGTTTGTGTATTTATTTTACAATGGCATTAGCAGTGGGAGACACAGCTGGTTCACAGGCCACAGTCACTCTTCTTTACAACGCACCCTATTTGTGTGAATGGGCCTGATTATGCTTCATAATTATGTAAAGTGGGAGCACTACATTAACTTCTACGTTATTCTGGGGTACAAAAGTTCAACAACTGTCATCAGCATTAAACGCTTTTTACATAAAACTAATGTTAAACTCCCAACACAATCAAATGAAAATGCAAATGATGACACACTGCGCAAGGAGGACGCAATAATGTGACTTGTTGCAAAAATGAATGAAAAAATAAAAATAAATGAAGATAAATACAAAATAAAATACCAAAAGAATAAAATAAAGCTAATCTGATTGTATTTGATGCCACTGACCTTCTGTGTGTTCCTCTTGGCTCAGATGTGGAGACAGCGCCCCCGGTGGAGTGTGTGCTGTGGGGGGACCAGGAGGTGCAGTGCAGATGGGAGCAGAGCACTGAGCTGGTCCACTTCATTAGCTACCAGCTGGTGTGTCGTCAGAACCAAACGGCCCCGTGAGTGCCTGCATACATCACGTGTGAAACATTATAACAGCAGCCACGGCTATAGGTTTTGAAATACTGCGGTCCATTATGTTGGTTTAGGTCTGGATAGGCTCTAGTTTAGTCTGGTAC